ATCTCACCATCATCATCATCATCATCAAAATAATCATGTTCAGTGTACTTCGTAGTCCTCTCAATTAGTTGCCCCCCCTTTCGCTTAACTCCATTTTTGAACAATTGCGCTAAAACCTGCATTTTGGACCCTCGAACCACATAAAACTACCAGGCGCCAGGAGGCGCGCAACCCTAGTAGTAGTGTAGTGGTAGTAGTAGTAGTAGTAGTAGTAGCAGCGGGAGGAGTCACAGAGCTCGCCGCGGATCAGCAGGATCCCAGCAATGCATGAAAGCAGCTTTTGCCCCGTAGCCATTCCTGGCGGGAGCGGGAGCAGCTTTGGACCTCTGCCTGCAAACTTCTGACACGTGTCTGAGGTGCCTGTAGTAGCCCCGAGGCAGCGATATTTGTGAAGGAGCAAGGTCGCTCAATCAGCTGACAGCTGCGGTAGAGGACGGCAGCAGGCCAATGAGATCAAGTGGTTTAAAACGCCCTCCTGCCAGCTTCGTTTTCTTGATAAATATTTCGAGGTGCAACAAACGGTCAAAACTTGTCAGGTTGCCCTATCAAGATACTATGGGCATGATCTTGGATTCGGGACTCGTGCAGGCACAACCCTTGCTCAGCCATGCTCAGCCGCCATGCACGATGCACGCTTTTGCGGGCTTGATTGCCACCATCCGCTGGGCCGAGTTGAGTTGTTGCCTTCGGCAACTGCTTAGTCGCAGCGCAGTTCTTTGCAACGTTGCAGACATGTCAATGTAGATCCGCAGCAAGTCGAAAACACTGGGACACTTTCTCGTATCAGTCAGCCAGTCAAACTGACTACGGATTCCCAGGTTGTCTATACCACGACTAAGAGGCTAAAACGCCAAATCGCGATTCGTCGAAATGGACTCCTACTCAAGGAGCTTTTGGCAAGGTGGGTGGATTTACCAGGGGTCTCTGAAACTTCTGCAAAAACGGCAGAGCTTGCTCCGGCACGGTGTAGTTGTATTGTCCGATTCCTGGATGGGAAGCGTCTAAGCGCGCACAGTCGCTTGCATCTGTGCTACTGACGTTGACACCACAACACCAGTTTCCTATTGGTAGTTCGTTATGTTCGGCTGTCTTTTTCTCCGTACGGAGAGGATTCTTCATCCCTCGTGCCTTGGGGGTAGCGGAATCTTTGTCTTTCAGCATGAGCCTCCAACATGCAATGACTCCAGTGCAGAAGCCATCCTCCTCCGCGACGAAGTATCCCGGCCTGGGGCACCTGGGGCACCGCTCCTCTCTTCTTGCGCAAGGCGAAAGCCTGGTGCAAGGCCGCAGAGACTCTCAGACGTTCTGAGATCGATCCAGTTGAGCCTTGCCTTCATGGACTTGAACAGATCGTCCTCTGAAGCCTACAAACCGCAGCCACAGCTACAGGCTTAAGGCGGAACCCACGATGTGCAGACACCCACACACGCACACACGGTAACAAAGAAGCCAAAGATCGAGTTACGCAGTTTGCAACGCCTCCGGATTCGGGGTCTCTGCCATCCCGCCGGGCGACGTGGCTGCACGAACCAGCGCCTCAGCCAGGGCGGCACACGCCTTGTCTGATCGGCAGCGGTCTTCCGAGGCCAGCAACGCGATCTTTCAGCGTGAGCCCGTGTTCTCGCGGCCTGGGCATCGAAACTGCCATGGGGTCTCCTGGAGTTCTGTCAAGTTGACTCAGGTCGACCCTAAGCATCTCAAGCCCCAAAGCCCCAAGCCCACGAAGGCGAGGGGAGCCCTGGAGGCGACTTTCATGGAGGCGCTGTAGGACGAAGCTCCTGTCACGATTGTGAAAGCTCTATGACCTTGCGAACCTCAGCATGCCTTCGACCGGAAGCAATGCATTAACAAAGGAACCCCGACGACAGTTGTCCAAGCATCATCAAGTCAAAACCTCAAACAATCTGAAGACTGGCATGCGTGGATGCGCCCAAGCTTTTCACACCAACATAACAAAAGGCTCTTCTGACTTCCACCCTCAGACAACTGCCTTTGAACCATGATTCAAAAAGAACATGCCTGGGATCATGCATTGGTCTGATGTAATTTGCAGAGCTGCCCATTGTGGCACATGCAGCGAAATCTGTGATCGGCCCACTCCGTCTCCTGTTGATGCGGGAAGCATATCGACTGGTGTCCCATTGATTCCCGAGTCCTTGCCAAAAATCAGAGACATTGAACATGGTTCGGTCATCCCAAAACCATGTACAGAAAGCAGCTCGTGCATGCAGCGCGAAGCGAAGATGAACCATGTGCAGAAACTTATGGTGCCTCTGAGTGCCGAACCTTGCTCACTGGCTACCCGACCGAGATTAAATTCCGGATGTTGTGTAATGATGAAGTCGGACCGGGTGCCTGGCATCACGAAGACACGAGATCATGAATGTCCATTCTAGCCTGCCGGTTGCGAAAGCTGTCTTGCTCTGATCCTTTCAGACACATGACACTTGCTGAGCCTGCAAACATGCCGAAATGGTTGCCACCGCAACCTCTGAGACTGTACATTGCTCTGGCCAAGTACGTGTGCCCACTCCGATTTTGAATGACATCTTGGCCGAGGGGTGGTTGTTGTTGTTTGAAAGACATCTGGGATTTCAGTGCTTTGGGGCTTATGCACGAAAACGTTCAACTAGCACACACTCGCACATGTACCAAATCCAAACTTCTTGAGCTGATGACTCCAGTTCGAAGAGCATGCTTCGTTCAAGCGTTCAAGCCTCACCCAAAAAAGCAGTGCTGACTGTGCGGTCCACTGGGCCCCTTAGGAAAAAGAAACGGCTCCGGGGGGCAGCCAAAGCCGGAGCGGTCTGTTTGATGCTAGGTTCTGTCCGCACAGCACATGGGTCTGGCCAGCACGGCCAAGCTCTTGCCCGAGGTCCGGACAAAGCTAGCGTTGAATTCCGTGGACGTCTGTGTGGCGTCCAGGGTCAAGAGACATAAACACAATGGGTATAGGCCTCTGTGCAGCGGGCTGTGGCTGAAGTTAAAGCCAGTATTGGCAAGAACCCCAGGCCCACAGCCCGAACTATTCTGACCGAGCCCATAGTTATCAGGAATTCTGTCAAATGCATGCGGGTGTTGGCGAGCAGCGTCTTCGCCGGGTCAGCGTTGGTAGCCCGGACGTACACAGCTTGCGCATTAAGCGGATGCAAGCACTCGGACTTAGCCGGGTGCACACAGGGGAAAGAAGTTGAGGAATCTTGTGGAATCCTAAGTTGAGGGATACAGTTACAGTACTTCACTTTGACGACGGCTTGGAGACTGTTGGACGCAGGCTCAAGATCCCAGCATTCCCTTTCCCCTTTGGACTCTCCACGAAAGGCCATCGCGTGCTGCTACTTGGCATCTAGAATCTATAGGGGATGTCCGAGATTGGGGCCCCGTGGAGACTTCGCAAAGGGTCATAGGCTTCCAGCAGCCAGCTTGGCTAAGTTGCCATCGCGTTCGATGAGCTCATCGTAAGTGCCCGATTCGACGAGCCGGCCGTTGGATATCACAAAAATGTTGTCTGAATTCCGAATCGTGGAAAGTCGGTGTGCCACCGTGATGGTGGTCCTGCCCAACCTTGCCTCCTGCATGGCCCTTTGTACGACCTGTTCAGACACGGAGTCCAAAGCCGATGTCGCCTCATCCAGGAGCATGACCTCGGGCTTCCGGATCAAGGCCCTCGCCAACGCACAGCGCTGCTTTTGTCCACCGGACAGCTTTTCACCACGAAGGCCCATTCGCTCACTCCACTTCACTGCACCAGATAAAGCGTAGTCCATGTGCGCCGCCTCCGCTGCTGCGAGTAACTCACCAGCTGTGGCCTCGGGGTAGCCGTATTTGACGTTCTCTTCCAGGGACATGTCGAAGAGTACAGGATCCTGGCTAACCATGCCGACCTGGCGACGCCACCAAGCCACATTCAGCTCCTGCAAATGGTTTATGTTTCTCTGTGCTGCGGGCTGCGGTGGGATGGGGGTTTGCTTTGAAGGGCCCTTTCTCAGGTCCTTCAGCTCAGTGCCTCCGATGCGAATGGAGCCCCTTGGAGGGTCATAGAAGCGCTGCAGCAGCTGAATGATCGTGGATTTACCGCTCCCCGAAGAGCCCACGAAAGCAACAGACTGGCCCTTCGCGATGGTGAAGCTGACATTCTTCAGTACCCGGACCTCTCAAGCGAGGCGCTTTACTGCGTGCTCTGGAAGTCCTTACTTTAGAATTTAGTGTCCTAAATAGCCCAACCCGAAGCTTCTCTTGTCAGTGGCTGTTGGAAGATAAGACATTCTCACTGCAAGCGGCGATAATCTATCAAGACAAGCCAAATGCTTCAGCATGCGCAAGCGCAGACAGCGAACCTCGGCACGGTGCGGATACCAGAAGCGCACATCCTTGAACTCAATGGACCCATCCCCAAGGTCTTCGATACGTCCTGTGGGTTGCGTGGCATCGATCTTGGAGACTTGATCGACAAGACGGAAAACCTCCATAGCTGCAAATCGGCCAGATGCAGCATCTGGAATGTGCTGCACAATGGAGGTGATCGACATCACACCAAACACCACACAAAAAAGAGACATCAGCACTTGGCCAGCATCGAAACCCCAGTACTGAATGCAGACAGCACTCATCGAAAAGCCAGCCAGGAAGATCAGCTGCACGAGAGCCAAGTTCAGGCCCAGGGACAGACCCAGCCTCCAAGACCTCGCAGTGTTGAGTTCTGTCAGCTTATTCAGGGACTCGTCTATGACTTCCATGATGTGTTCTTCTGCTCCGATGGCTTTCACAGTGCGAATGGAGGTCACGGCCTCTGACGTGACCTTGCCAGCCTTGCCGTAAGCCTCGATCCTCTCAGGATCCATTCGGGCGACATAGGCGGCCACCGTGAGGCCCAGGAGGCCGCAAAGAGGCATCAGGCCGAAGAGGAGCAAGGACAGCTCCCAGCAGCCGAAGAAACTGAAGCCAAAGCTGAGGATACACGTGAAAAGGGCCGCAGCTGAATTCCCAAGCTGAATGCCCAGCATCTGTCCCACCCGATTCATGTGCATCTGGAGGGACACCAAGATGCTCCCTGTCTGGTTCTCCGGGGCATCGAAGAAGGACATGTCCATGCAGACGGTCCTGGCAAAGGCTGCCTTGCGCAGGATCATGCACAAGCTTTCCTGCTTGTATGCAAAAAGGTAGTTCTGTGCGAACACCGCGGTTCCCGAGCCCAAACCGACGATTGAAAGGCCAACGATGGCAGTGTCCAGCTTTTCATACATTGCCTCGAAGTCGCCCAGAGCGGCTTGAGACAGGGACACCACCGCCGCATTGAAGAAGACAGCTTCCAGCGGCATGCTCGCTGCTCCCGCCAGGATGATGACGACACTCACCGGCCAGATCCACCAGTAGCGACCTACAGTAAGCCCGCATAGTTTTGTCATAGCAGGCAGAACCCGTACCACCACAAACCAAAAACGAAAACTGCTGGGCTACGGTCATAGGAGCCCATCATGCGCAGAAGGCGGCAAAACACTGCGGGACTGCCGGCATCTGCTGTTGCACCGTCTGCACACTTCGTCTGCTGCATCTCGCGGCCAAGGCTGCTAGCAAAGGATGCTGCAGTGACCAACTTGCCGTGCTCATCCTCTTCCTCAATGGCATGGTCCTCATCGCTTTGTTCCTCTTGCTGGTGCTTCGTTTCCTCACTTCTGGCCTGTTGCAATGTAACCATGTTGTGGTACTGGCCCTTCTTTGCCATCAGCTGCTCGTGGTTGCCCTGCTCGCAGCAGTATCCATCCTTGAGCACGTAGATGATGTCCGAATCTTTGATGGTTGACAACCTGTGGGCCACAGATATTGTGGTAATGTTGCGTCCCATGGTGGCATTAGCAGAATCGAGTGTTGCCTGCACCATGCGCTCGGACTCGTTGTCCAAAGCCGAGGTTGCCTCGTCTAAGAGCAAGACCTGCGGATTCTTTGCCAGGGCACGTGCGATGGCAATGCGTTGCCGCTGTCCTCCAGACAGCAGCCCACCGCCTGTGCCAACATGCGTGTCCATGCCGTCAGGGAGCTGCATCACGGTGTCATAGATTTGCGCCACCTTAGCTGCTTGAATCACCTGCTCATCGGGAACGGAATTGTCCAAGGCCTTCAGGTTTCTCATGATGCTCGTGGCGAAAAGCACGGGTTCCTGGCCAACGTAGCCAACCAGCTGTCGCCAGACCTGGGTCGGTACCCGACTCAGGGAAGTTTCGTTCACCAGCACCTCACCGGCAGTCGGATCATAGAATCGCTCAAGGAGCTGGATGGTGGTACTCTTGCCACAGCCACTCTCCCCAACAAGTGCAACCTTCTGACCCTTCTCTGCACGAAAGCTGAAGCTGCGAAGAGCCCACTTGTCAAGCCTTGCCGGATACCTGAAGCTAACCTTTCGAAATTCGATGATGTCCACCTCGGTCAGGTTCGCAGGAAGCTCTCCTGGCAGGAAGCGCCAGGCCTCGATGGCACCGGCATCACCCGCCTCACGGCAAATGACCTGCTTCATTGCTTTTGCAGAAACAGCCGCTCTCGCCATCACAGGAACAAAGCCACTAAACTCGCTCAGGGCTGAAACGCCGACCATAACGGAAAGCATGACCGTGATGATGCGTGCGGGCTCGAAGCCGGCATTCTCCTCAGACATAAGGACATGGCCACCAAACCAAAGCGCCAGCGAGTACAAGCATGGGTAGAAGACATTGAGAATACCCCACGCAGCACCTATCTTCGTGCCAGAGCGGATGCCACCAATCTTGGCCGGTATCAGTTCCTTTTCGAAGCGAGCGACCTCCAGCGCCTCGCCACCAAATGACGCGACGCTGCGGATGGCCATGAGCGCCTCCTCTGCTACTGCAGAGGCCCGTGCAAAGTTGATCTGCTGCACCTCTGTGTAGTGCTCGATCTCCTTTCCCATGCGATGGCCGGCCCACATCAAGATGGGCATTGCGGCGCAGACAACCAAGGCCAGCTGCCAGCCTTCATAGAGTGCCAACAGCAGGCCAGCCACGAACTGGGCCAAGTTCGAAATCAGGAACCCCAGGGCTGACGACATAAAAAGGTAAACATTCGAGGAATCGCTCTCCAGCTTGGATGCGACTCCCGCCGAGTCGTGCTCATCGTACCAGGAAACCTCAGAAAAAAGACGAATCCCTGGTAGAAGCCGACCACACAAAATCTCAACAAAAGCTGGCTGAATGTGCTTCCCAAGGAACGTCTAAGGAAAGTAACACTTGCACGAACCTGCGGTGCCAGCGGAGGGCTTGCTTGGCGGCGGCCCAGGCCAAACAACTTTGCCAACCGAAGGCCAGGAAGAATTGGACGGCCGCCAGTCCCCCGATCTGACAGTTTCGGAAGTGGTGTGGATAAGGATGTATAAGTATATGTACCCATATAAATATACATACATATATATAAGCATATCTAGCTCAGACATGTGTAGAGGTGCAGCTTTTGAGATTGAAGTCTGTCATCGAACTTGTTGAGCACCGTATATGATGCAACTGCATAGTACTAAACTAGTAACCAACATGATTGCCGAAGTTACGTACAACTGAGTCTTACAGTCACCGGTTCTCTGTGCCTTGATAAACTCAGGGGTCATCGCCTCTATCTCCTTTGCGTGGTCTGCGACCGCCAATGTGGTAATGCTTTCCCCCATGAAAAGTGCAATCGCTGGAGCTGAAAGCCCCTGCGCAACAGCCAAGATGACGCCAATGGTCAAAACGACCTTTTCGCAGCACTTCTGGGAGGAGCCACTTGCATCTTCGATGGCCTTGCCGATGTGGTGCACTGCTGGGTTCCTGCATGCTTCGATGTCGTCCTCTTCTTCTTTCCCTGCTTCGACCTTACCTTCTTGTTCCGCCCGTCCTTGCCCCAGGAGGACGGGCAACCGATTCTCAAATGAGGCTGACAGTCGCGGCGTCTGAGCGGCCATCGACTGTGGGCGAAGGGGGACACAGGCGCGAGTTACGGGGCTGGATGCTTTTCGACTTCAAACCTTGCAGTCAAGGCACTCACTTTGCAAGTGCTTTTGCAAGCAAGACTTGGAGATTGAATCGAAGCTTCTCGCGACATCGGAAACGCTTGTGCTCTGCTCAGACTTCGATAACGACGGCGACGACTACTCTACTTCGACCTGCCACGAACCGGGAACGAAACTGTAGCGTGGCTTTTCCGGCACCTTGCTGGCTTCTGCAGTGAAGACGTGCTGCTGGAGAAGCGAACGCATTTGCCCACTGCCCAGTCCACCAAGCTCGGATCCCCCTGAGTCCTGAGCAATTCACAGGAAATTTGCATATGCAGGGCATTTTCTTTTCTTTTTGGGACTTCGACAAATTCGGGAGCCCGTGCGCCCGTCCTGCTCCTGAAGGACCTTCCTCTCCAAGGCCATAGAAGTGCTCGGCCCGGCGCTCGGCTGACCGCACGTCCGAGCACGGATCCAGGAGGCAAGAACAACAAGGCCGTGCAGGGACGTTCCGAAGATGCCGCGCTCGCTGCGGTCGTTGGCTTTTCGGCTCGGACTGCGGAGGGCCGAGCGGCTCAGGGCTGCCCCCAGTGCCTGTCGCAGCACTTCGCACTGCGGTCCTTTGTGGAGGCTCTCGCATGCGTGGAGCGCCTGCACAAGGCAAGAGGCATCCCATGAGCCCAGAAGCTCCAGGGCTTTGAGGGCCTGCCGCCAGGCGAGGCTACGAGCGCAGGCTCCAAGCACCGAGTCCACCAGGGCCAAGTCCAAAAGGGGCTCCCCAGGCAGGGAGAGGGAGAGCAGATTGAGGAGATAACTCAGGCTGTGCTGCCAGCCTTGGGCCGCCGATGCCCTCACCAGAACTCTCCATGAGGGCAGCGGCAGGTCCGGGACACCTCGAAGAAGCTGAAGCGCCTCTTGCCAGAGCCCTGCCTGCTCGAGGGAGCCCGCGACGATGCTGTAGCCTCGAACATCACAAAGCAGAATCACCGCACTCTAAGCAAGTGCTGGCTGTCCTGCCAAGGTACTTGCTGCATCGGCAGAAAACCCTGCATCCCAGAGGACCTGCAAGCACTGCTCCCATTGCCACGCCCGCTCGCAGGCCTAGGCCAAGCATGAAGCCGCTGCCAGCATGTGTCGGGCTACTGCAAGCGGGACACTGACAAGCTCGCATTGAAGCTGCTGGTGTCCGGTTCCTGCCAGCACTGCTAGAGCAAGAGCCACAGCAAAACCTCCAACAGACACATACGGGGTCCTGGGCGTGGTCACGCATGCTCTGTAACAGGTGCAGGGACATCCTCCATCTGCTGGTGGCACCCACTGCAGAAATCGTTGTGTTGTAGACCGAGGTGCGATTGAGCGAGCCACGCTGAGACTCTGCGAGCAGTGAGAGCGCACGGCCCCAGAAGACCCGACCGCGCTCAAGGGCACTGATGGCGATGCCAAACGTGGCCACGTCCGGAGTGCCACAAGCACTCGTCGCGGACTGCACGAGCTGCAAACAGAGTTGCCACTTTGCAGCGTGGGCGCAGCCGGTCAGCGCCGCATTTAGGACCTGCACCGGTCCGCCCAAACCTTGGCATTTCGGCACCCTGAGAAACGTGTTCAGCACTTGCCAAAATCCCAAATCTCGCAAATCCAAGAAACCCTAAACTTTCAAGCCCAAAGCTGTATAAGATACGACAACCTGAACCCTTCAAAGTTTAAATCAAAAAGATGCAAAACGTAAAATCCCCAAACCCCACAGTAAAGCCCTCGACCGGCTTTTGGGGCTTGAGGGCCTAAAGATGCAACCGCGGCTAGCCAGCTATTTATGAGGTTGTGCAACGTTAACGCTTTTAGGTTCAGGGTTTGCCTAGGATCCAGACCCAGCATTGACGGCTTTTTGAGCTTTTGGGGTGCAGGGCGTAGGGTTGAATGCGTCATTCGGCTTCTTGGCTTCCGGCATTAGAGATTCAATTCAGTGCTTTGAACCTGGACCTATGTTTGACGAAAGCTTTATTCCTTCCCTTTCCTGTCCTTCATGTTTCATTGATCAGTGTGGACACACACACACAAAAAAAAATCCCAT